GGGGTAAAATCCCCTTTCCGGTTTTTTTAAAAAAAAAAAAAAAAAAAAGACCAAGATAATTTTACCTAAAAGAACTGATATTTGCCCTAGTTTTCATATTTGTGAGTTTTTAAAAAATTAATTATATGGTTGTTTCTAGTACTCCCTTCCGGTACCTACTTACACCTTCCATGCAAAAAAGTGTTCAAAATAAAATAAAGAGCCTTAACTGGGAAGAAATGGAAAAAAGCCCACACATTCCTGAAATAGATGATTCTGAGTTATGTATTCGTATTCCAGGAGGAGGTATCACAAAAGCACTCTATGATGAAAGGTGAGTTTGTTGCCTATTTGTTTCCCACCTTATTTAAAAATGAAATTAAGATAATCAGGAGAGTGTATTGGATTACTTATTGGAATTTTGAAAATGTATTTATGAAATAGGTACTATATTAACAGATCTTGCATTGAGGGGAAAGATTTATATTTGGCTATAGAAGAATTGGCTCCTGAAAAGCCATATTTAATACTTTATTATTTGTGGCATTTTAGGGATTCTGATACTTATTCTATGGAATAAGTATACATTTTTTAAATTGTGGTAAAATATACAGGATATAAAATTTACTGTTTTAACTATTTTATTATTTTTTATTATTATTATTTTTTTTCCTTTTTGTCTTTTTTACTGACCGGTAATGGGATCGCAACCCTCGGTGTCGCGCCCGTACCGGGGACCAGCAACGGGATCGCAACCCTCGGTGTTGCGCCCGCACCGCGCTCAGCCAGTTCGGATCTCCACATGGGATCCGAACCCTCGGTGGGAGCGCCACTGCGCTCCCAAGCGCCGCACTCTACCGAGTGCGCCACCCAGCCGGCCCTGTTTTAACCATTTTAAAGTGTACAATTAAATGGCAATAAGTACATTTACATTGTGTGCATCCATCACCACTATCCACTTCCAGAACTTTGTCATCATCCTAAATAGAAAATCTGTACCCATTAAATAATAACTCCCCATTTATTTCTGTAAAATTGGTAGTCATGGTCCCACTTTTATTCCTGATTTTAGTAATTTAAGTCTTTTCTCTTTTTTAGTCAATCAAGATAAAGATTAGTCTGCTCTTTTGTTCTCTTTCCTAAGCTGTAAACAGGTTATTGATTTGAAAAGTTTCTACTTTTTTAATGTATGCATTTACAAGCTATAAATTTTCCTCTTGGCACTGTTTTCACTGCATGCCATTAGTTTTGGTATGTTGGGTTTTCATTTTCATTTATCTCTAAGTATTTTCTAATTTCCCTTGTAATTTCTTTTTGACTCATTAGTTGTTTGAGAATGTATTGTTTAATTACCACATATTTGTGAGTTTTCCAGTTTTCCTTCTTTATTGATTTCTAGCTTATACCATTTTGATTGAGAAAGATACTTTGTATTATTTTAATCTTTCTAATTTATCAAGACTTGTTTTGTGGACTGATATGCAGTCTATCTGAAGAATGTTCCAAGCGTTCTTGAGAAAAATGTGTATTCTGCTGTTGTTGGATAGGGTATATGGTGTATGTCCATAAAGTCTTAATTTGTTTACAATGTTCAAATCTTCTGTTTCCTTATTAATCTTCTGTCTGATTGTTCTATCCACTATTGAATGTGGGGTATTGAAGTCTCTAAGTGTTTTGTAGAACTGTGTTTCTCCTTTCAATTCTGTCAACATTTGCTTCATATATTTTGGGGCTCTGTTATTTTGCATATATACTTGTTATATCTTCTTGATTAATTGGCCCTTCTTTAATATATAATGTTCTTTGTCTCTTGTAAGAGTTTCTGACTTACAGTATAATTTGTCTGATATTAGTGTCACCCCTGCTCTTTTGGGTTACTGTCTGTGTGGAATATCTTTTTCCATCATTTCACTTTCAACGTATGCATGTGTTCTTAGATCTAAAGTAAGTCTTCTAGGCAGTACATGGTTGGATAATTTTTTAAAAAAAATATCCATTCTGGGCCGGCCCGGTGGCGCACTGCTACAGTGCGCCGCTTGGGAAGCGCAGTGGCGCTCCCGCCGAGGGTTCGGATCCCATGTACAGACCGGTTCCCGCTCACTGGCTGAGCGAGGTGTGGG